TTGTAGGATTTCTAATTCTTGTAGGACTTCTAATTCTTTCTTCTGCTCATTTTGCTTATTATGCTTTCGATTTAAACGTTTTTTTCTTTAACTGTGTGGTTTTTCGAAGGGAACATCATCCGTGAGAGCGCAGGGCAGCTGGAGTTAGGAGATGCGAGCTCGGCCGTCTTCATTTCCCAGCTCATATCTGCCGTTTAATCCTCTTGCAACACATCAATGCAAGCCAGTGACTGCTTGCTGTTAATTTCTTAAGAGTTTTCATTTCATTGATTATGTAGTTTTTCGGAAAAGAATCTTCGGACTAACTCAGGATAAATTACAAAAATTTCCCAAATTTGTAGAAATAATGTTTTTTTTTTTTTCAAAATCCAGTTGATCAGTTGCGGTCTCGTTTGAAAAATAGCGGATTTGGTTTTGAAACCCTAAAAAAGCGTTACCTCTGTGGTACTTGCAGTTAAATTTCTCTTATTATTCACTGCAGATGTATATATTCTAATTGTTTCTAGTAATTCCTCGATTCCCCCAGTTGTTTTCTGAGAAGTAGCAAAAGCCAACAACATTTTCTTGGAATGTTTTTTACAAGCCACATTATTATGCTGTTCTTGAATTAAGGGCAGCGATGTTGGCAGTTCTCTTAATTTTTTTTTTTTGTTTTCGCTAAAATCCCCTGTGATAAAAGTTGTTGCAAAAATTAATTTCAAATTCAGTGGGGAATAAATTTCACACAACCACAGCTCATGAAAATTTAGTTTGAATTTTAGAAGCAAAAGCGTGAGTATCGAGATGAGAAGAAACGGGTTACGCAGGAGCGGCTTACAGCATTACATGATCCGACGGTTGTTGTTATGGCGGATTGGCTTAAAATTCGTGGAACTCTGCGAAAATGGAATCGCTATTACTGCGTTTTAAAACCTGGTTTATTGCTTATTTATAAAAGCAACAAAATTGACAAGGTTTTTTTTTTTTTTTTCATCCTCTTCCTAATTTTTAGAAATTATTATTTCTAAAAATGCCAAAAAAGATAACATTTAAAACTCCCTCCGAGCTCGCTTTTCACTAGAAGCGCAAGCTACTGCCCGAAATGAAATGTATTTGAGGAGAACTAGCAGAAGATGAAATTGCAATGGCTGAAACGCTCTTTTTTTAACAGAATTATTTATATGGAAAGAATGCTAAGAAGCAGTCCGCCAGCGACAATTAATTTCGTACATGTACACCATTTCCTGATGATTTTTAGCATGGTTATTGGATTGGTACAGTTTTATTGAACAATTGTGAGCTAATTGAGCGTCCATCAAAAAAAGATGGCTTTTGCTTCAAGCTCTTTCATCCGATGGACCAAAGTATTTGGGCTTCACGAGGACCATTGGGTGAAAACCACGGTGCCGTTACACTGCAGCCAATACCAACAACTTATCTGATTTGCAGGGCACCATCCGAACAGGTAAAAAATTGTTCCAGTTATTTTCTAGTTTTGTTTTTTTTCCAGTTAATTTTCCAGTTTTTTTTGACATGCATTTTTTGCAATGGATTTTTACCAGTTGATTTTTGTTCGTTTTAACCAATAGAAGGCTTTGAAATTGTGCAGACGCAGATGTTTCTTTTTTTTTTCTGTG